TCAAGCTGATACGTGCTAGACGTCAATAGTCGCTTCTTTTCTACCCGCCATTTCCACTGATGTTTCCTGTGCATTGATGGGGATGATGGGCCTTGAGGCTGAAAGCGAGAACAAAGAGTCCCAGGTGCTTGTGGTGTGTGATGGGGTGGAAGAACCAGCCGCTGTTCATGAAATAACAGCTGGTCCGCAGTGACGGGCAGAAATACACTACAGCTCACCACTTAGTGAATTGCAGCCAGCCTTTCAAAACAACAACAACAACAACAATTTTACTTATACCCCACCCATCTGGCCAGGCCTTCCCAGCCACTCTGGGTGGCTTCCAACAGGATACAGTGGTACCTCGGGTTAAGTACTTAATTCGTTCCAGAGGTCCGTTCTTAACCTGAAACTTAACGTGAAGCACCACTTTAGCTAATGGGGCCTCTCGCTGCTGCCGCGCCGCCGGAGCACGATTTCTGTTCTCATCCTGAAGGTACTATTTCTGGGTTAGCGGAGTCTATAACCTGAAGCGTATGTAACCTGAAGCGTATGTAACCCGAGGTACCACTGTATTGCAAACACAATAAAAGATCAAACATTAAAAACTTCCCTAAACAGGTCTGCCTTCAGGTGTCTTCTAAAAGTCAGATAGTTGCTTATTTCCTTGACATCCAATGGGAGGGCACCACTACTGAGAAGGCCCTCTGCCTGGTTCCTGATAACCTTACAGTGAGGGAACCACCAGAAGGCCCTCAGTGCTGGACCTCAGTGGGTGAACAATGGCGGTGGAGACGCTCCTTCAGGTATACTGGACCGAGGCCGTTTAGGGCTTTAAAGGTCAGCACCAACACTTTGAATTGTGCTCGGAAACGTACTGGGAGCCAATGTAGGTCTTTCAGGACCGGTGTTATATTGTCCCAGCGGCTGCTCCCAGTCACCAGTCTAGCTGCCTCATTCTGGATTAGTTGTAGTTTCCGGGTCACCTTCAAAGGTAGCCCCACGTAGAGCGCACTGCAGTAGTCCAAGCAGGAGATAACCAGAGCATGCACCACTCTGGCGAGACAGTCCGCAGGCAGATAGGGTCTCAGCCTGCGTACCAGATGCAGCTGGTAAACTCAGTAACTCACCCCGTCGCGGGGATTCGAATTGCCGACCTTCTGATCAGAAAGTCCTAGGCAATAGGACGTACCTATTTTCATTGGAGAAATGTTGGGTGGTATGTAAAGCTCTCAAGCAGAGGAGGCATGCCAGAAATGTTGTTGTTTAGTCGTTTAGTCGTGTCCGACTCTTCGTGACCCCATGGACCAGAGCACGCCAGGCACTCCTGTCTTCCACTGCCTCCCGCAGTTTGGTCAGACTCATGCTGGTAGCTTCGAGAACACTGTCCAACCATCTCGTCCTCTGTCATCCCCTTCTCCTTGTGCCCTCCATCTTTCCCAACATCAGGGTCTTTTCCAGGGAGTCTTCTCTTCTCATGAGGTGGCCAAAGTATTGGAGCCTCAGCTTCAGGATCTGTCCTTCCAGTGAGCACTCAGGGCTGATTTCCTTCAGAATGGAGAGGTGTGATCTTCTTGCAGTCCATGGGACTCTCAAGAGTCTCCTCCAGCACCTTAATTCAAAAGCATCCATTCTTCGGCGATCAGCCTTCTTTATGGTCCAGCTCTCACTTCCATACATCACTACTGGGAAAATGCCAGAAATAAAAGGTGGCAAACCTGTTTTGTTGCTACTGGCAATCCGCACTCAGACAATTGTTGGTATTGTTTTCTCTTTCGGCAACAATGGGGGCCCCATATGTTGCTCTGTTGCCAAAGCAGGGAGCTAGCTGCTTCCTCCCCCTTCGTGAAGCTGTTCTTTTAAGAAGGGAGGGCAAGGGTGGCGAGAGTGGGGTGGGGTTCATGCCTCTTTGGGGGACAGATGTGGGGGGTCTAAGCCCTCCGCTTGTTAAAAAGATGGGGGAAGAAACGCCTCCTTTATTTATGAAGGCCAAGCAGGGATGAGCTCTTCGGGGCCTGGAGAATGGGGGAAAGCCCGGCAGGATTATAACTTCCCAAATCCAAAAGCCTATTAAAATTAAAACCAAATTGATTTTTCAGCTGACATCGAGAGAAAAGGAGGGCTCCTCCCCACTGCTGTTTAATCTGCTTGTTAACGACAATGGATTTTTGATGTCTGTGTGACTGTTTGCTGGGAAAACGTAATGATGCCCTCCGCCCCTCCCAAGCAAAACACAACCAATCTATAGTGAAATCTGAAATATAGGATTTACATCTGCCCCACATAGGGAAAATATGGGACACTTCCTCACCTCTGTGATCCTCTTTCTTTGTTTTGCTGTGGTGTCAGGGTTTAGCGGAGGAATAAGCACCCAGAATTAGGAGGTCAACATTAGACAAATGGGAACCAGAAGAAACAAATATTGCAGTCCCTGAATAAAAATACTGTGGTTCACAGCTCCAGACAGCTTGAAACAAAAGGTTTACAGTGCTGTTTGAAGCTCACTGAGAACGTTTTTTGTTTGTTTGTTGGGAAAGGATATACAATGAACTGGGGAAAAAAGTTTGTTTGTTTATTTATTTATTTTTTAAAGAGTTTTATTGAACATAACGACAACAAATATTTTAACAATAAAAATATCTTCCAAAAAAAAATATTCCCTAATTTTTTTCCTCCCCCCTTCCCCAAAAAGAACCCCCCCTCCCCTCCCCCCCCCGGACTTCCCTCAGCTCCTCTCTCTGGTTTTTCCGTACTTATAATTCTCTGCATATTGTAAAATTGTAAAGATCCTTAACTTATCTGTCTATGTATTATTCATAATAAATTTGTGGGTGTTTATTCAAAACCTGCCAAGGAGTCCAATTCATTTTGTTGTTTCCTTAAGTACTTCATGAAAGGTTCCCATTCTTCTTTAAAGTCACAGTTGTCCTTGTCCCGCAATTTGTGTGTCAGTTTCGCCAGTTCCACGTAATCCATCAGTTTTTCTTTGCCACAGTTCTTTAGTCGGGGTTTCTTCATTCTTCCATCCTTGTGCTATTAAGACTTTTGCCACAGTTGTCGCAATATTAAATAATAATTTAATATTATTAAATTTCCTTGGCAGGTCTTTCCCAACAATCCCTAACAAAAATGCTTCCGGTTTTTTTAACAAATGTTAATTGGAACATTTTCTTCAACTCATTATGTATCATTTCCCAAAATTTTCTGATCTTACTGCAATCCCACCACATATGATAAAAAGTCCCTTCTTTTTCCTTACATCTCCAACACATGTTTGAGCCTGTTTTGTACATTCTTTTAAAAAAATGTTTAAAATAACTTTTGTAAAAAAACAACACCAGAAGCCTTCTTATTAGGAATTGTAGGTACCGACATCCCAAAGGAACAGAATAGGCTCTTCATGTATGCGACAACAGCAGCACGGATGCTATTAGCCCAGAGATGGAAAGAAGAAATAGTCCCTACCAGAGAGGAATGGCAAACTAAGCTGTTAGACTACGCCCAAATGGCAAAATTTACCGGAAAGCTCAGGGACCAAGACGACAAAAACTTCAAAAAAGAATGGGGGAAATTTATAATTTATTTAGGAGAACCACTGTAAGAGGATGAAAACATTAGCAGGATTTTAATCTCACCTGTAATGTAACAAATACTATGGACAACGTGGAGAGATATAAAATGTAGATTATGAAATGATATGCAGTTGGAAATGTGGACAATAGGACCTATGGAGGGGATTGGGGGGGAGTCTGGAGATATAGAGGAATCTCTTTACAGTGGTACCTCTGGTTACAAACTTAATTCGTTCTGGAGGTCCGTTCTTAACCTGAAACTGTTCTTAACCTGAGGTACCACTTTAGCTAATGGGGCCTCCCACTGCTGCCACACAATTTCTGTTCTGATCCTGAAGCAAAGTTCTTAACCTGAGGTACTATTTCTGGGTTAGCGGAGTCTGTAACTTGAAGCGTCTGTAACCCGAGGTACCACTGTATATGCATATGTATTTGGTTTTGTTATAAATTTATATTTGTAAAATCAAATAAAAATGACTTTTTAAAAAAGAGAACGTTTTTTGTTGGTGGTAGTTTTGTCTTTGTCACTGTTCTACATACAGTGGTACCTCTGGTTATGTACTTAATTTGTTCCGGAGGTCCGTTCTTTACCTGAAACTGTTCTTAACCTGAAGCACCACTTTAGCTAATGGGGCCTCCTGCTGCTGTCGCGCCGCCAGAGCACAATTTCTGTTCTCCTCCTGAAGCAAAGTTCTTAACCCGAGGTACCACCTCTGGGTTAGCGGAGTCTGTAACCTGAAGCGTATGTAACCCGAGGTACCGCTGTAGTTCTAAAGGGATCTGTTTCAGGGCTGGCTTTATTGCTCTATGGTGGATGAGAACAGAGAACATAAATGTTCAATCTGCACACATTCCTCTTACCTCTCATAGTGAGAAGCAGCAACTGTCAGAATGACAGTTGCTGAAAACTGCAGGAGAGGACAGTGCCCTTGCGCTCGGATCCTGCCTTTGGGCTTCTCACAGGTCAGCCACTGCGACAACAGGACGCCAGACTAAATGGACCATTGGCGTCATTTTTCACTGGAAAGAGACACGATGTGATGGGTTTGAAGTTGTGTCTTCTATACAACATCACATTTTCATTAATCGGCCCTGAGGAGAGGGAAATTCCGCCCCATCATTCTGCACCCACAAACACTCAAAACAGATTTCATAACTTTGCTTACAAGCATGCCCCGAAGAGGTGGAAACCCCCCCCCCAACTTTTAAACTATGTGGGATGCACCACACTTTTGCAAATTATCTCCATCGCACGCACCATGTTGTATCTGCAAAGTAAGCCCAGGCTTGCTAGGTTTAGATGCGGTTAATGCAACGCTTATTCTTAGCGTGTTTATCTCAGTATCAAGGAGGGGGCGAGCCCTTTCAGAATCAGCCACAAAATCGCTCAGCAGAGCAGCCGGCATATAAAAACAACGAGCCAGCCTTCAAGGATGTGACTGCAACACGATGGAGGCCAAAGAGAACGTTGAAGTTGAGGTAAGTGGGAGAGGACTTGCTCTCAAGAGCGACTGGGGTATACTCCTTTCGAGAAAAGACGAGCAGGAGGAGAAGTTCATGAAATTACGAGATAGTGGGTAGAGAAATCTTTTCCTCCCTCTCTCGCAGCCCTGGAACCCGTGGATATCCAATGAAGCTGAACGCCGGAAGATTTAGGACGGATAAAAATAACTTATTTACACAGTCAAACTATGGGACTGGCTTGACCAGGACTGTCCCCGACTTCAATGGCTTTAAAAGAGGATTAGACAAACTGTCAATGGCTCCTAGCCGTGATGGTTATGCTCTGTCTCCATCGCTGGAGACATCAATGCTTTTGAATACCAGTTACTGGAAGCCACGGGAAGGGAGGGTTCTCTTGTGTTCGAATCCTGCTTGCTAGTTTCCCACAGGCATCTGGTTTTGCCACTGTGAGAACAGGATGCTAGACGAGATGGACCATTGCCTTGAACCAGCAGGCTATTATTATGTATTATTATGCAGCGGGTGGTGCTGTGGTCTAAGCCACTGAGCCTCTTGGGCTTGCCGATCAGAAGGTCGGCGGTTCGAATCCCCGTGACGGGGTGAGCTCCCGTTGCTCTGTCCCAGCTCCTGCCAACCTAGCAGTTTGAAAGCACGCCAGTGCAAGTAGATAAATAGGGACTGCTATGACAGAAAGGTAAATGGCGTTTCCGTGCGCTCTGGTTTCCGTCATGGTGTCCCGTTGTGCCAGAAGCGGGTTGGTCATGCTGGCCACATGACCCAGAAAGCTGTCTGCGGACAAACGGCGGCTCCCTTGGCCTGAAAGCAAGAAGAGCAGAGGGCCTTCTTGGTAGTGGCGCCCTACCTGTGGAATGCCCCCCCACCAGATGTCAAAGAGAACAACAACTACCAGACTTTTAGAAGACATCTGAAGGCAGTCCTGTTTAGGGAAGCTTTTAGTGTTTGATGTATTACAGTACAGTGGTACCTCGGGTTCAGTCCTTAATTCGTTCCGGAGGTCCGTTCTTAACCTGAAACTGTTCTTAACCTGAAGCACCACTTTAGCTAATGGGGCCTCCTGCTACCACTGTGCCGCCGGAGCACAATTTCTGTTCTCCTCCTGAAGCAAAGTTCTTAACCTGAAGCACTATTTATGGGTTAGCGGAGTCTGTAACCTGAAGCGTATGTAACCTGAAGGGTATGTAACCTGAGGTACCACTGTATTTTAATATTTTTTTGGAAGCTGCCGAGAGTGGCTGGGGAAGCCCAGCCGCATGGGCAGGGTATAAATAATAAATTATTATTATTATTAACCCCATAGTCGCCTGGCTGCACTTAACCGTCCAGGGCTCCTTTATCTTTACCTATTATGTTCCTATGGAATCCCAAGCGACAAGCACAGGGCTATTCTAGATTAACCCCACCAGTTTATTCCTTGAGATCCTTCCCACCATCATAATACTTGTGTGTGTAACTGTTTTGTTTGTAACTATAGTGTGCATTTTTGTGTTTTTATATTGTGAACTGCTGTGTGATCCTTGGATGAAAGGTGACGTATAAATTTATTAAATAGTGAAATAATAATCATCAGCACAAACATAGTGGAATTACTTTGAAAGAGGTTGTTATTGGTAGGCAGTGGGGAGCAGAGGGATAGCAGCTCCACCACCCAGTGACTTGCAAAAAGGGAAAAAGAAATCTACTAGCAGTTGAGATTAAGCATCCTGTTAGTCTGTACTTGTTATTACTTGCTGGTGCCTGTAAAGCAATGTACATGAAGAGGTATCTAAAATGATGCATATTGTGGAGAAAGTGAATGGAGAGGTTGTTTCGCTCTCTCTCTCTCATAATACTAGAAACTGGAATCATCCAGTGAAGTCGAATTGTAGAAATTCAGAACAGATTCATACATCACAGAGTTACACTATGCAATTTGCTACCCCAAGACAAGGTGGAGACCAGCAGCTTAGATAGCTTTAAAGGGGGGTGACACCAGGGATGGAGAACGTCCACTCCCAGGGTTAATCCTGGCCCACCAGGGCATCCAAAGTTAACCCTTTTATTGCAGGGAGGGGGATGGAGACAGAGCATTTTCTGGAAGCATTTGTTCGGTGTGCACATCTTCATCCGTTTTGCAAACATAAAGGTGCGCCCACGTCTAAGCCACGCTTCGCATGCATGTCACATGTCACTGCCCACTTTCGCCATGTCACCCACCCCATAAAGCAGAATTCATAAAGCAGAGTGCAGAATTGAGCGGCCAGGACGCTCACTGGAGAAGGACAGTTTGTGCATATTACGCTGACCCTGCTCTGACTGTATTGGCTACCAATTAGTTTCCGGACCCAATTCAAAGTGCTGGTTTTGACCTCTAAAGCGTTAAATGGCTCTGGACCACAATACAGCGGTACCTCAGGTTACAGACTGTTAAGTTGTGGGTGAACATATCAGACGACACAGCGATTCTTCAAACAGCTCTTGTTTATTCACAGGCCAGAACAGAACTGAACTGAAGGGTTCAGCCAGCCTTATATAGAGCTCCACCACAACGCAACAGTAACCATTTCCTGTAACTATCCAATCACTGAACGTCACTTTCAATCCCTTATTTGCATATGTGGACCTGAGTGAAAACTATCTATAGTATCCGCCTGCTGACCCAGGGTGAGAACTTCAGTACATAACACAGATGCTTCAGGTTACAGACTCCACTAACCCAGAAATAGTACCTCGGGTTAAGAACTTTGTTTCAGGATGAGAACAGAAATTGTGCGGCAGCAGCAGGCGGCCCCATTAGCTAAAGTGGTACCTCAGGTTAAGAACAGTTTCAGGTTAAGTACGGACCTCCAGAATGAATTAAGTTCTTAACCTGAGGTACCACTGTACCTCAAGGATTGCCTATATTCATATGAACCTATCTGGACCCTGAGATCATCTTCTGAGGCCCTTCTTCATGTGCCTCCCCCTCGAGAGGTCCGGAGGGTGGCAACACAAGAACGGGGCCTTCTCTGCAGTGGCTTCCTGTCTGTGGAATGCTCTCCCATGGGAAGTTTGCCTGGCGCCTTCATTATATACCTTTAGGCGCCAGGCAAAAACGTTCCTTTTTAACAAGGCCCTTAAAAGGTAAAGGTCCAGTTAGGTCCAGTTGTAGACGACTCTGGAGTTGCCATGCTCATCTCGCTTTATTGGCCGAGGGAGCCGGCGTACAGCTTCCGGGTCATGTGGCCAGCATGACTAAGCCGCTTCGGCGAATCAGAGCGGCACACGGAAATGCCATTTACCCTCCCGTCGGAGCAGTACCTTTTTATCTACTTGTACTTTGTGCTTTTGAACTGCTAGGTTGGCAGGAGCAGGGACCAAGCAATGGGAGCTCACCCCGTTGCGGGGATTCGAACCGCCGACCTTCTGATCGGCAAGCCCTAGGCTCTGTGGTTTAGACCACAGTGCCACCCCACGTCCCAACCAGGCCCTTGGCTGACCTAATCAACATCCTATGCCCTTTAAAATATGTTTTTTTGTGGGGAGTGGGCTGTTGGGTTGTTTTTGTTGTTATTATGTATTTTGTGGTTTTATATCTTGATATTATTTTGTGAACCGTCCTGAGATTCACAGGTATAAGGTGGAATAAAAATTCTATTATTATTATTGTTATTGTTATTGTTATTATTACCATATTGGCCCAAATATAAGCTGCACCCGAATATAAACCACACCTTTAAAATTAGAGAGGGGGAAAGAAAAAATACCCGAATACAGTCATACCTCAGGTTACAGACGCTTCAGGTTGCGCGTTTTCGGGTTACGTATGCGCCGAAACCCAGAAGTACCGGAAAGGGTTACTTCTGGGTTTCTGTGCTTGTGCATGTGCAGAAGCGCTAAATCGTGCTTTGTGCATGCGCAGAAGTGCTGAATTGCGACCCGCGCATGCGCAGACGCGGCACTGCGGGTTGTGAATGCTGCGGGTTGCGAACGTGCCTCCCGCACGGATCACGTTCGCAACCCGCGCGTCCCCTGTATAAGCTGCTCCGTTCCTGGCTGCATACTGGGGGTGGGGCTGCGTTGACGGCGGCCTTTTCCCTTCCTTGCCTCCCAGTCTTGGTGGAGAGGACGGGGGTGCCACATGTGGGGCGGCCACCGCTTTGCTGCGCTCCTGGCGCTATTTGCCGCACGCTCCTGGCTGCATACCGTAGGGTTGTGAATATAAGCCACACTTTTAACTTTTCATGGTCGGAATTGGGGAGAAAAGCAAAGCTCAGATTCAGGCCAATACAGTAATACAGTGGAACCTAGGGTTAAGTACCGTATTTTTCGCTCTATAAGACGCACCAGACCACAAGACGCACCTAGTTTTTGGAGGAGGAAAACAAGAAAAAAAATATTCTGAATCTTAGAAGCCAGAACAGCAAGAGGGATCGCTGCGCAGTGAAAGCAGCAATCCCTCTTGCTGTTCTGGCTTCTGTGATAGCTGTGCAGCCTGCATTCGCTCCATAAGACACACACACATTTTCCCTTACTTTTTAGGAGGGAAAAAGTGAGTCTTATAGAGCAAAAAATACGGTACTTAATTCGTTCCAGAGGTCCGTTCTTAACCTGAAACTGTTCTTAACCTGAAGCACCACTTTACCTAATGGGGCCTCCTGCTGCTGCCGCGCCGCCGGAGCACGATTTCTGTTCTCATCCTGAAGCAAAGTTCTTAACCTGAAGCACTATTTCTGGGTTAGCAGAGTGTGTAACCTGAAGCGTATGTAACCCGAGGTACCACTGTAATAATAAAGCATGATAATAAGCACTTCCCCCCTGCTTTGCAGGAGCCGATTGGTTGGATGAATGAGCCAGCGGTCACCACCGAGTGGTACCCGTGGGATTACAACGCATCGCCGCCAGACCTGCCTGAGTTGTGCGAAAAGGCAGCCCTCCGTGCTGTGGCTCACATCTACCTCCCCGTCATGGCTGTCCTCTTTTGTGTGCTGGGCGTCCTGGGCAACGGGATCCTGTTGCTAGTGCGCACCCGCTATCACACGGCCCAGTCCCTCGGGGACGTCCTGCTCTTGCACCTGGCCATCTCTGACTTGCTGCTGCTCCTGACGCTGCCCGTGGGCCTGGCTGGGATGGTGGGCAGCTGGAGTCCGGGCACCGGCACGTGCCAGGCCTTGCAGGGCCTCCACGCCCTCAACTTCTACAGCGGCTTCCTGTCCCTCATGGGCCTCACCGTGGACCGCTACGTGGCCATCGTGGGGGCACCCGTCGCCCATCGCCTGCACTCCTCCACCACCTGCTGGGGTCTGCTTTGCTCAGGGCTGGTGTGGCTGCTCTCCGCGGCTCTGGCGCTGCCCTACTTCTTGTACGCCCGTGTTGAGGACTACGGGGATGTGAGCCTCTGCAGGGTGGCAGACGTCACAGCGGCCATCAGCCTGGTGCAAGTGGCCTTGGGTTTTGTGCTCCCGTTCGCAGTCATGGCGGCCTGCTACACAGCGATCGCCCGCGCTCTCTTGGCCTCCCCGTGTGCCCAGTCTCTCAAAGCCCTGCGCTTGATTTTGGCCCTGGTCTTGGTCTTCCTGGCTTTGCAGCTGCCCTACGCGCTGCTCACCGCACTGGACACGGCTGATTTGATGGGACACCAGGCGTCGAGCTGCAAAGTCATCCTCCGCCGGGACTTGGCCCTCCTCATCACCAGTGCCTTGGCCTTTGCCCGCTGCTGTCTGAACCCTGTGCTCCACACCTTCCTGGGCATGCGGTTCCGTAAGGACCTGCAACGGCTGAGCCGGGATATGGGCTGCCTGAGGCAATGGGCATGCTGCGGTGAAAAGCCTGGAGGTTTCAGGCAGCAAGCATCATTCACCACCCATCTGGAAGGAATCTCAGGAGTGGTACCGTGAAAGAGCCACCCAAGTGCCACCCACCCGGGAAGAGTCTTGGCATCTTGCAAAACCCACATGCAAATCCACACCCATTTCCTGCATTTTTTGGCAATAAAGCCTTTATTTTAGGATGATGCTTTGTCGTTCTTCATTTCACTGTAAGCTGTGAGGACCACACGGGCCCTGTATTGTGTGCAATGTGTTGGGTACGCACGTGATCTAGGAAAAACCTGGTCCTTTCCCCTTATGGGCCCATATAGAGTCCTTAAGTAGGTTCCCTATTGGTAGGAGAAAATGACAGAGGCCAACCAGAGAATATTGAGAAGCAAAGCAGCTAGTAAGCCTGATCTTTATTCAACAGGGTCCCCACTCACCACATGCAGGAGGGAGGAGGAACCCAGAACAATGGTGCGCAAGCCCTTATATAGACTTTTGAAACTGCCCGCCCTGTAGCTCAAGACACCCCCCCCCCCAAAATCATACATACATCCATCCATCACAGACGGAGGCGGGTCTACAGCAGAAATACATCACAGGAGGCGGTCTACAGCAGAAATCCTGTTGGCCAGGATACCTGATAATGGTCACTGATTGCTTTACCTGGGCAGCCTGGCTATTCTCTTGTGATGCTAAATACTTTAATTCCTGAATCCAAGTCACAGGTTCACCCTATTCATACACAAATATGCCCTTAAGATAGGGTTTATAAGCAGAAAGACAAAGAGAAGGCTTTCCCATGTCTTCCCTCCATACAGAGAAATATATTGAGGTCAATTTGGGAGAGTCAAAATGACTTCAGGATTGCTCTCCTGTACTATTTCAGACACGTGGTTTATATACTTATGTAGGTGTTTGCCTTGTACATTTATGAACGTTTATTTTATATTTGGGACCTTAAAAGTCTTATAACACCATGCAAAGTCCTGCTTTCCAGAAGACAGTTCTCTGCTTGGAGGTCTGTCCAGTCCAAGTCTACCTTAAACATAAAGAAGTGGCAGAAAGCGGGGCAGGAGGGACCTTGAAGAAGAGAGAGAAAGAGCCTTGAAGTGTCCTGTCATCAGCCCTGGACAGCACACCCACCTGCCACACAAATAAGGATGGGCAAATCTGCCAGGTTCATCAATTTCCCATTTTGCCAATATGAAGTTCAGTTCACCACTGTTCTGCATCAGTCTGCAATTATTTTTTAGTCCTCGTGAACACTTGTCAGCATTTTAGAGCAGATTTCTCCCAACGCACCCATTTTTTGTATGGAATTTTGCCTAGCATACACATTGTCACAAGCAATCGGTGCTAGTACAATGCATTTGTGTGTGTGTGTGATCTTCACTAACATATGCATGTTTATGCGCACTTTATCTAGCATTTGGTAATATTTTTTATTTTATTATTTTTTAATTTCTATTCTGCTTTATATTTTTACTCAAAATCTCAAAGCGGTTTACAGCATATTAAATCAATAAAACAATAGCCAGGCGATGTTCCTCCGGCCTCAGGGGGAGCCTCTTTCGTAGGGCTGGGTGGGTCTGGGCCTCACCCCCCAGGCCAGGTAGAAAGGGCCGTACGGGGAGCGGCCTTCACGCCTCACAGCCGGGCGATGCTGGGTAAGTATTTTAGTTTATAGCTTTAGAATTGATTTTCCTTTTCAAAATTGTTGTTGTTATTGTTGTTATTGCTGCCTGTCGCTCCCTGAGATCCTAGAACCATTATAACAGAGCAAATCTCTCTCATATTTTTGTGTGTGTTTGTGTGTGGAATGCTATACAGTGGTACCTTGGTTCTCAAACTGAATCCGTTCCAAAAGTCTGTTCCAAAACCAAAGCGTTCCAAAACCAAGGCGTGCTTTCCTATAGAAAGTAATGCAAAATGGATTAATCCGTTCCAGACTTTTAAAAACAACCCCTAAGACAGCAATTTAACATAATTTTTACAATCTAACGAGACTATGGATCCATAAAATGAAAGCAATAATCAATGTGCTGTACTATAAAATAAATAAGACAGTACTGTAGATGATAAAAATTGATTTTTTTTTTTTTACCTTCACTGATGATAGTCATTATTTGGATGGTGGGCTTTTATCCATTTCCGCAGTCACACGATCAATCAATCAATCAATCAGTAGCTGAACTGGGTTCCACACAGTCACACAAAAAAATTAACTGAAAAAGCCTCAAAGACAAAAAGGCAAAATAAATAGCAAAAACAAAAACGCCAAACTTAATCCGTTCCGGAAGTCCGTTTGACTTCCAAAATGTTCAAAAACCAAGGCGCAGCTTCTGATTGGTGCAGGGGCCCTGGAAAAAAAAGCCAACAGACACATCGGATGTTCGGCTTCCAAAAAACGTTTGAAAACCGAAACACTTACTTCTCGGTTTTTGGCATTTGAGAACCAAGGTACCACTGTATAAGCATTGCGGTTTTCCATAGTGCCCTGCAGGGGTCAGCAAAGGCAAGTATTTCACTTGCTATTTGTCCTTTTCTTCACATATGAAACCAATGGTCCCACAGTGCTGGGTTTATTAAGGTCTTCTCAGTCCATCTGTATAAATTATTTTAATGTTTCCATAGGGGGAGAGCTCTACTTAATTCTTTTCCTCCCTCTGTTGATGTTACTTCAGGGCTATGTACTTGGCTCTCAATTTCCTTTCTACACACTGTCCTGGGGTGACTTTGTAATACAGTGGTACCTCAGGTTAAGCACTTAATTCGTTCCGGAGGTCTGTACTTAACCTGAAACTATTCTTAACCTGAAGCACCACTTTAGCTAATGGGGCCTCCCGCTGCACGATTTCTGTTCTCATCCTGAAGCAAAGTTCTTAACCTGAGGTACTATTTCTGGGTTAGTGGAGTCTGTAACCTGAAGCGTATGTAACCTGAAGCGTATGTAACCTGAGGTACCACTGTATGCATGGATTTCAGCATCACCTGTATGTTTATGACATTCAACTCCACTTCTCTCCCCCAAACCTTTCCCCACTCCAAATCTTCATCTCCAACCTCTTCTCTGATATTTATCTTTGTTGTTGTTGTTGTTGTTGTTTAGTCGTATCTGACTCTTCGTGACCCCCTGGACCAGAGCACGCCAGGCACTCCTGTCTTCCACTGCCTCCCGCAGTTTGGTCAAACTCTTGCTGGTAGCTTCGAGAACACTGTCCAACCATCTCGTCCTCTTGTCCCCTTCTCCTTGTGCCCTCCATCTTTCCCAACATCAGGGTCTTTTCCAGGGAGTCTTCTCTTCTCATGAGGTGGCCAAAGTATTAGAACCTCAGCTTCAGGATCTGTCCTTCCAGTGAGCACTCAGGGCTGATTTCCTTCAGAATGGATAGGTTTGATCTTCTTGCAGTCCATGGGACTCTCAAGAGTCTCCTTCAGCACCATAATTGAAAAGCATCAATTCTTCAGCGATCAGCCTTCTTTATGGTCCAGCTCTCACTTCCATACATCACTGCTGGGAAAACCATAGCTTTAACTATACGGACCTTTGTTGGCAAGGTGATGTCTCTGCTTTTTAAGATGCTGTCTAGGTTTGTCATTGCTTTTATCTTACTATATAATAAAATTGTCATGCGGTTGTCATGCTGTGGTTGACATGGCAGTCAATAGGTAGCCACAACAGCCCCAGAGTAACAACAGATCAGCAGGCAGGTGCCAAGCAAGCAAGCAGTGTGGGTGGCAGATGGCCCAGGGAAGCTGTTCAAAAGAGGGTGGGAGACACTAATAATAATAATAATAATAATAATAATAATAATAATAATTTATTATTTATACCCCGCCCATCTGGCTGGGTTTCCCCAGCCACTCTGGGCGGCTTCCAACCGAATATTAAAAACAATACAGCATCAGACATTAAAAACTTTCCTTCAGTTGTCTTTTAAAAGTAAAATAGTTGTTTATTGCCTTGACATCTGCTCTCTGAATCAAACTGCTCTCCGAAGCACCTCCATCCAGCTGTGAAACATCACCAAGGTACCTCTCTGTTTCTCCTTGCTTTACTGAAATCTCTGTTGTTGTTTGTAATTGCCATTCCCCTCTCTGTGTCCCTTCCTCCTCACCCCCATGCCAAGGCCACTGGTGTTTTGCAGCCTGCCATTTCTGTGGCTCCCCTACCCCATCCTTTATGCAAATCCAAAACTGTGAAGCAGTGCTACAAATCCTCCAATAGAGGCTGCCCAATAACAGCCTTACATTTTTACACGTATTTCACTATATACAGTGGTACCTTGGTTCTCAAACTTAATCCTAAAACAGCAATTTGACATGAATTTTAGCATCTAACAAGACCATGGATCCATAAAATGAAAGCAATAAACAATGTACTGCAGCCACACAATCAATCAATCAACCAATCAATCAATCAATCAATCAATCAGTGCCTGAACTGGGTTCCACACAATCACAAAAACAAAGTCACAAGTCACAGACCCATAAAACGAAGAACAAGTCACAGTCAAAAAAACAAAAAAGCCACACAAACAAAAACACAAACCCCTTCAAAAACAAAAGCACCAAATATAAGCTTCAAATATCACCTCAGAACACTGCAATGGGAAACAGAATGCTAGGATGCAAATTAGCAGCACAACACTCAAACTGGAAGCTCGGGACTCAAAACAGAGCATGCTTGGCCTACAAAGCAAAGTTCGCAATTACCTTAATGGCACATGTAAATTTATCCTTAATAGCTATATCCCACACTTCTTTATACCATTCTTATATTTTATATTCTGCTTGCCCCTTTCACCTTCTAGCTATAATTATTTGTGTTTCCAAAGAACGTTAAAAAACCAGAACAATCACTTCCGGTTTTTGATCGTTCAGGAGCTGTAAACAGATGAAAACATGAGCAGGATTATTGTAATAACCTGCAGTCTTATAAGAGTGCATATAATTAAAAGAGTAAGCCAAATGAATTTGGATATGCAGAAGATATTAAAAAATAAATTTAAGGAACTGCAGAAAGAGGGGGAGGAAGTCAAATTTTGAAATGTGAAATTGATTGTAAAACTAATGAAATG